TGCTCTAAGTGGGATTATTTTTCCTGATACAAGGGCTCTAAATTGATGCTTTTGATGCTTTCCAAAGGCAACATTGAGAGATGCTTGCATTTGCTTGAGAGATTTTAATCAAGACAAGGCAACTAAGTTACCACGGAGCGTGGTCCAAAGCATCGGTGGTCCTCATGTTTTGTTTGTCTTGTATTGTTCGTCTGTCTTTTGGCTGAGTTTTGAGGAAAAGCAAGGTGTTGAATGACGCCGGGTGGGAATTGGGTAATGTGAATGGCCGGGATGCTTCCAGGTCTCTTCACTCTGCAACTGTGTAGCCTAGGGCAAAGTGTTTGACCTTCATAAAGTTTAACTTCAGGAACAATTATACCATTGACTGTTACCGTGTTAAATAATATTCTTCTAATAGGTCCGCTCAGATGGCTTGAAAGCCCTTCATTTGTTTAGCAGATGCTTAGCTACCGGTTCCATAGAGGACTTTATGCTAGGGAATGAATGGCTCTCACTGCCTGTGTGCTCCTGAAATGACAGCATCGGAGGTGAGTGCCCAGCACAGAAAAAAGCAGACTCCCAGAACCGCCTCGTGCCGTCAGCCGCGTCTTGCTACCTGAGGATGAACACTTCATACCCCTTCGACGGAGGAGTGGAGAGATAACAGCGAAGTTTGCCGAGGGGAGGGTGGGAGCAAGAGCTCCCCAGTGACGGCAGGAACGGGATTGGAGATGAACGAGCGAGCGTGCGGCGCCCTGGAACAGGAGTCCCCGTAGCTCGGAAGTCCCACTTTAAGGCTGCATGGCAGGGTCACTCCTGCATCTCCTGCAGAAGTGCTCAGGGATCACAGGGATCAGGCTCACGACTGCACTTGCCTTGATAGAAGGATGTCCCAACAACCACAATGACCAGCAATGAGGGATTCGAATAACGGCATAAGATTCTGGGCTTAAAGAATGACACCTGGGGGCTGGAGAGATGGCTCAGAGGTTAAGAGCATTGCACCTGCTCTTCCAAAGGTCCTGAGTTCAATTCCCAGCAACCACATGGTGGCTCACAACCTTCTGTAATGGGGTCTGGTGCCGTCTTCTGGATTGCAGGCATACACACAGACAGAACATTGTATACAAAATAAATAAATAAATGTTTTTTTTTTTTTTAAAGAATGACACCTGAAGTTGACCTCTGGCCTTCATGTGCAAGGGCATGTGTACACCTGCACACACATCGCGCGCGCGCGCGCGCGCACACACACACACACACACACACACACACACACGGAACACACACGGAATAGGGGAAGTTTTTGCCATATACTAAGTAGCTTTTTCTAGATCCACTCAGGAATGTGTGGCACGTGTGCCTATCAATTGTCCTTTGTTGTTCACAGGGCACAGCAGCCTGAGTCCTTCCCACCGCCCTGTCATTGGCAGGACCGCCTCTGGGTGGCAGCTGCCCTCTGTCCCGCCGCCACCATGGTCTGGCTCAAGTCTAACAGTTTCCTTCTGGTGAGAGCTGACAGAAGCCAAGATAGAAACCAGTTTTGGGCGATTGGCAAGCAGTTAAGTGCTAGAGGGTTTTGAGCCCTGTGCTAGGGAGTTGACTGGCCGGAGTCAGCCCCAGCCCCACCCAGTTCCTGCTCACAGACCTCTTGTCTCCTGGGCACCGTGCCTCCCCACTACTGCTTGTCTGAGTGTTTCCAGATGCCCGCTGCCCGGATGGTCTGAGGTGGTCTGGCCTCCCCACCCTCCCCCTGTTACACAGATTCATGGTATATTGATAATTCAAATAGAAGCGATCTGTGTTGTCTGGTTAGATGGTGTGTCAAGTCAGGGAGTCGAACCCCAGAGCAGCTTTGTGGAAGAGCTTGAAGCTGACTGTATGCAGTCAGAGACTAGAAACCCTGTTCTAGAGAGCATTGGCAGAGGGGTGCGTGTGAAAGCAGAGGAAGGTTCTTATCCATAAAGGGTCAAACCAGCTGATTCCTGTGTGTCTGTGTCTGTCTGTCTCTCTCTCTCTCTGTCTGTCTGTCTCTCTGTGTGTGTGTCTGTCTGTCTGTCTATCTCTGTGTGTCTGTGTGTGTGTGTCTGTCTCTCTCTGTGTGTCTGTCTCTGTGTGTGTGTGTCTGTCTGTCTGTCTGTCTGTCTCTCTCTCTGTGTCTGTGTGTGTCTGTCTGTGTCTGTGTGTGTGTGAAGGTAGAAGTAATTCATTGCTGTCTCCTCCTCCCTTGTTGCTACGCTGGTTTCTTAGCTACATCTCCTAGGCCCTCAAGATTCCTTAGGGCATAATCAGAATATCCCTAAAGCATCTAATCTCGTTTAATTCCTACGATACTCTACAAACGGTTAGCGTCTCTATGCGCGGCTGGGTGGAGTCCTTGCCTAGCTTGCACGAAGCCCTAAATTCAATCCCAGAGACAGAACACACCTGTCTTCCCAGCGAATGGCGAATCCCCAGACAAAGTCCCACAGAAAGGAAGTGGCTGAGTGTGGAAGGCTCCTTCTGAGGGCAGGGCCATAATGACTCTCTAGTGTGGTTGGTTTCCACTGCAGGAGCAGGCATGGCAAGGCTTCTTGGTCACTGCAGACTAACTGCTCTGTTGTGGAGGCCGACCCTGGCAGACAGAAACGGCGTAAGTCGTTGCCACTGCGGAAGCAGGTAGAATCTGCGCTCTGAACCTCAGCTGCTTTTACAGCTCTCTTCCGGGGGATTCTCCTCACCACCTGAGATCAGAATCTCCTCCCCAGCCAGGAGTCCCAAAGACTGTTAGGTGTCTAGCAGAAAGCACAGCTGGTGAGGCCGCTTGGTTTCCGGGGGTCTTTGAAGAAAAGATCTGGAGAACTAGTCGCAAAGGAGAAAACAGGGACTGGGTGGCCAGCGGAGAGAGACATCCCTGGCACAAGGGCTAACTGGAGGAGCAAGGTCTTCACTGGGGAGACGGGTGTGGCCTTTCTTAAAAAGGTTGACTTGGGAAACAGGTTTGGATCTGTTGAAAAACTGGCTTGAAAAAGGGCTTTTTTGGTTTGAAAAGACTAACCCCAAAGTGTCTTGGGGGAATTTCAGGAAGTTCTGGAGCAGAATCTTGTTTTGTTCCTCTCTGGTTTCCAGAAGGAAATTGAACATGAACGTGACTCCCCCTTGTGGAGTAAGCTTCATGGCTTGGTACAGTATCCCACAGAGGCGAGGGGAGCTCAGAGGTCTGAACTGCATCTGTTACTCTGTTGTTCTTGACCCAAGAAAGGTGTTTGCGTGGAAGCTCCACCCCTAGCCCCCTCCCCTGGAGTTGCTTCAGTCCAGATTCAACCCGTCCCCTCAAAAAGCCTGCCATTGGCGGCTCCACCCCTGGAGGGCATTAAAAAGCCCCCACCTCATGGATTCCCCTCGTGATCGTCTCAGCTTCTCCTGGCGCCACCCAGGAATGCTTTGCTCAGAATTATTATTTATTAATAAATCATTTATTATTTATTAATTCAGTTTGATTGACTTATTACATCAGTGGCGGTGGATTCCCCGTAGCCAGGGATTTAAAACTTAACAAAAGGAAGTACTAGCTACCCAAGAAAAAGATTTACTTTTTTGAATTGTACAAGTACTTTGAATCGACCTTTTATTCCGGCACTTCATAAAACTAAACTTTTGCCTGTCGGGCTTCATGCTTAAATACTTAGACTCTAGGTGTTAATATTAAGATGACTGAACTCTGTGTAACGGTCATTTCCACCTCTGCCTTATGCTTAAGGAAAGGCTACGGTAGAAGTGAGCTTGTGTCTCTGTGGCCAAGTTCTCTACATAATCCTTAGCAATAAGGGCACATGTTATAATTGTCCGTGTTTATTGGCCATCTCTCCTGCCTTCCCTTTCCAACTCTTGACAGCAGAATGTTCAGTCGTAGGTTTACTGGGATATTAACTGGCTTAAGGTCGGACCACTAGTTGCTGAGGCTTTAATGGAATTAATACCCATGATCTGAAAGGGAGACTTAAAAAAGACAAGAGAGGAAAACATATTAACTTGATTTCTCAAGTTTTGGCCTTTGGTAGATCTTCTGTAAAGATTTTAAAGGATAGTGAGTGCCGTGTAGCCATTTCCTTCAAACATCTCTTCCTGGGAAGAGACTCCAAAAGACCCGGGGAGTAAAAGAAATTGACAAGGCCCCAGGAAGCATCTGAAATTTACAAGGATTAGCCCCCAACCCCTTACATAAGCAGGAATCATGGCTAGGGACGGGTGCAGACTAGCTAAACTGTTGGCCAGTCCTGCAGGAAGCTGCAGAGAAGCAGTTCTCATGCCTGTCACAGGGTATGTGTGGGGGAGGAAGGGCTTGTTTTGGGACAAAGGCAGCTGCCTTTTGCCATCCCTCTATACTTCTATAATAACCCCTTAACTATGCTCCTGAAAGAACCCCATAAACTCTTTGGCTCACTAAGCCAGACTTGGGTGAAACTGTTTCTCTGGTGTGTTTTTGGTGCCCTTTCTGGGGTCCAGTAGGTTTAGTCATGTCTGTCCAGGAAAAGTCACACGCCAGTCAGCTGGTAAAAAATGGGGATGGATCTTGCTTTATAGTTATTTGAACGACAAACTTTCATACATGGAGTATTTTTGGTTAATGATAAAAGGCATGCAGGCAGAGTTTTTGTCAGGACTGCAAGCTCAAAAATAAACACACAGAAGTTTAATATTAACTATAAATGCCTGGCAAATGGCTTAGGCTTGTTACTACCTAACTCTTACAACTTAAATTAACCCGTTTATATTAATCTACGTTCTTCCATGTGGCGTTACCTCTCTTTCATCTTGCACCTCCTGCTTCCTCTCTGTGTCTCGCTGACGACTCTTCTTCCCAGTATTTTAGTCTGGTTCTCCCATCCACTCCAAACTTATCCTATCCAGCTACTGGCCAGTCAGCTTTTCTACTAACCCAGTCAAGGCGGCACATATTCACGGTGTCAAGGACTGATCCTCAGGACGCCATTCACGCTGGAATAGGAGAGCTGCCGGAAGGTGGGGAAGGCTGCCAGAAGGTCACAGCACAGACGTGGCGTGACAATGCTGTTGAGCTGGAAATGACAGCAAGAGAGAGGAGGAAAATGAAGGCGCTTCCAAAACTGGTGAGTCCTCTGAGTGCTCCCTGAGGAGCTTCATCAATGTCCTATAAAATGCCACTCCGCTCTTGCTGAACTGGACTTAGGTTTACATACCAGAGACAGAAGGTATGGGGATGGCTAGTGACTGCCCTAAAATTTTGGGTTCTTGATTGCCTTGGGGATTCCCTCCTTCGTGGGAATGAAGAGGGGCCGTCCCTGGGATTACACTGCCAGTAACCCCTTCACATCTTCATCCTGAGACTGGCTGGCATAGTAAAGGAAATTTAAAAAAAAAAGAAAGAAAACATAGAGGTCAGTACTGATTTTCCTAAGCAAAATTGCTTTTAGCTGCCAGGAAGGGAGGGTGGGCATGGAACTATGCGGTGTTGTTGGTGGGTGGGGCACTGGGCCACAGTACCTTTAAGTACTCAGATAGAAATGACGGCCCCAGAAAAAATTCAAGTCCAGCCCCTCTTGGTGAAGATGCAAGCTCAGCCCCCTTGGTGAAGATGCAAGTCCAGCCCCTCTTGGTGAAGATGCAAACGCAGCCCCCTTGGTGAAGAGCAAGGCCAGCCCTCTTGGTGAAGAGCAAGGCCAGCCCTCTTGGTGAAGATGCAAGCCCAGTCCCCATGGTGAAGATGCAAGCTCAGCCCCTGTGAACCACTACTAAATCAGCTTCTCTATGCTGACCTGGGGGAAACACTTACTTGAGCAGTTTAAGGAGCAGAGAACCCCTTTATCTCAGGCTGTTTTCCTTTCAATGAACATGGACCTTCACAAAGTAGAGCCTCTTCTGAGGGATAGAGTTTTGCCTTCAGGATACCCTTTTAAACCACTGTTTCTGAGCGCAGGGAGTTTCTCTACAATGGTACCCATCTCTTTATTACCTACAGCTGCTGCTTCAGCACCAGCCTGACTACCATCTTGTTTTAAAACATTTCTCTGCCAAACTCATCAGCCTGTCACCTTCAGATTTAACCCCAGTTAAGCTTTCGGGACAGGCAGAAATCGCCAGATTCTTGGCTAATACACTACACGAATGGCATTATCTCAGTCCTCAGGAGAGTACTTATTCCCTTCCAAAACCTCACGGGCGGGCCCTTCATTGTCAGCGGTTTATAATTCCGGCACAGTTCTGTTTTACGCTCCCTCTAGGGTGGCCCATTAGGCTCTTAGAGCATCCGAGCCTTTCCTCGCTCCACCAACAAAACAGTTCCAAAGGCTTAAAAGCCACCTGGCCAGCAACTCTTACGAGGACATTTGTCTTTTTGGGGGTGGCTTATTTCCTTTCATAGGACAATCTCCGGGACCGCCCGTTTTCTTAAATGTTACATAACGCGTGGACGGATCACTGCCAACATGCCCATGCCCGCCCTTTAGAGGGCCAAGATCACTGTAGCTTTAAAAGCTGAGGAGTTGTTCGCCTCTACCTCTGCACCTACACACAGAATGTCTTCTTTAGACCAGTTCTATAACCAAATCTTTCTCACCTATGGGCTGAGGGCCTTTGACTCGGCCCAGAACACCCTGTGGGCTGTCTTCCTGTCTCTTTGTCTGGCAACTTGTGAAATATGAACAGACACCGTATGATTAATACAAATTCACTGAAAAGCATCGGAAGATTCTTGATCCTAGAAATCAACACACATGAGATTTCCTGATTGTTTCCTTTTATGTCTAGAAAAGCTGAATAAATACCCAAAGACCCCCCCAAAATCTAAAAGTACACTCTGGGAAACTGGTTAAATTAGGGAAAGGTCATTATAATTGAAATATTAGACAGTCATTAAAAATAATGAGTTTGAAATATTGAGAAACAAGGAAAATGTATTATTATTTCTGGATATTACTGTGTAGAAAAGCCAGGTTATAAATCGATTTTGAATATACATAATGACAAACACTCAGCAAATAAATATCATATAGAATAAAAAGATGTCTCTTTTAGAATATTATTGCTTATCACTGGGTAGTAGAGTTACATTATTTCTTCTTTTTCTTACTATCTAAAAGCTCCATTACTCAGGTATAAGACAAAATTTAAATATACCCTAAGGGTCCTCTCGTTAAAGAGTTTTACCCTTGAGCAAACCAGCGTTGGTGACCTTTGGCCTTTCAACCCACCAGGAAGGCCGAGATCTTTGATACTTTGGACGTAGGAGACAATCTGGCTCCTCAGTTGCAACCTGCTAATGACTTGTCTTGATGGCTGTCACCTGCCCCTGGGGAGGAGGCGCAGCTGGGCGCTTCTCTCTCAGGAATAGGAAAGGATTTCCCTAATGGCCATTTGGAGCCCTGGAGTCATCCAAAAGGGGCGTGAAATTATAAAGATCCTCCTTTAGCTCCAAACAAAAAAAAAAAACAGGTCCACGTTGGGTGTGTATAGAAGAGATGTGAATGGTGTCCTTCGATGGGACAATGTTGTAATGAGAGCCACGCGTGACTCCGGGCTAGCATGAACCATTACTGCCCTCCCCCCTTTTCTTCTGAGCTCGCAGATGGACAAAATTATGTCGCCTTAATAAGGAGACTCTTAAGCGCCAGCTGTCACCCAGCGTCGCAGCCCGCCACGCTGACAAAGCCCCCATTAAACGGTTTGCTTGGGATAATTCGCCTCTGTTCCTTCCCTCGCCGGCAACTGACAACCTGGTCCCTCCTCTCCTCGCCGCCGAACACCTTTAATCACCTCCAGAGAAGTCCGCGTCACATGACGGGGTGGCAATTCTTTAATCCTACATGCCTTCGTATTATTATAATTTTTTTTACGGCCTCTTTCAGAAGTTTTGAAATGAGGTTGGTAGCTGACATCCCTTGCTATCATTCCTTCGGTGATAAAATAATAATTGCTAATTTTCCTCTTTAGAGAACCAGGGCTTTATCGGGAATAACATTATGCAAATGACTATGCAGATGTCAGCCAGTGGAGTCTCTGGGAGAGAATTTCAGGAAAAAAACTGGCAGAATATATCCAAAGTTGGCTGGAGAAAAAAGAAAGAAAAGAAAATCCCCAGCATTTTGAACTATAAGGTCACCATGGTAGCAAAGGGAATTCTTGACTAAAAAGAATTTTACAAGAGAGCTATATCTTCTTTATAATAGAATATATATTATATATAATATAAAAGACGGACCATATATCAGTATTTATTGTAGTTCAGTTCACGTATGATACGATGGGTTGCCCTTGACAGTTGTCAGATCCCTTTGGGCTGAGTTTCTTGGGTGGTGTCCAAAAATTCAAGGCAATTAGCATGCCACCTTCCAACCTTACGCATGTAACCCTATTTGTTTTATATTCTCTCTGTTTTTCTGATCACGAAGATCTTTGTCTTTTCCACGTAGGAAATTGTTGGGGGAAAGTTCACCCACCGACAGACGAAAGGTACTGGATTCTTTCCAAACCGAACTTTTCTGACACTGGTCAAGAAACAGGGGCCGTGACTGGTCTGTCACCTGCAGGACGTGGCCCATCTAGCAGCTGGGAAGGAGTTTTGACGAGAGTCACCCACACACCTGCGTGAGTTCTGACTTGGATTCCTTTACCCGTGCGAGGCATGAGATATTTAATGACCAAAAGAGAGAAAATTGAAATTCAGTAAATTCCAGGCAGTAAATGTAAGGTTTTATTTCGTTTTGTGGTTTATTTTAAAGACCCCATCTTGACGCCTAACAAGAGAAGAATGTTCGATACACTGTTTCCAGACCTCACACTTCAGCAGGAGAAGCAACAGAGATGGATGAGCTCTGAGGTATCTGTCTCCCTGCCCTGAAATTGCCACCAGGAAATCCCTCTGATGGGCTCTGTGGAGACAGCCTTGGGATGCTCGGCACAGGAAGCTGCTGCCCTCAAGTGGAGGACTGAAAATCCCCCACCCACCACAGTCCAGGGCCCGATGTTCACGTTTGTAACTGGACGTGACTTTCTAAGGCAGATGAAACCGTGGAGCATTATAAGGGGTTACTTTTGTAGGACTCAGCCAGGACAAGTTCAATAGAGGTCCGAGTCTCAGTAGTTTACCTTAGACAATACCTGATTCCGAGAAAGACCACAAACCGAGACCACCCATGCTCCACCCAGGAACAGACCATCCTATGGAAATTCCTAATGTTCCAGTCATTGTAGACAGGATCATCTGCCAGCACACACCATCGCTTTTCACTAGGACACCCCTGGACAAATGCCAGCCAATTAGGGGTCCTGACTTTTAGAAATCCCTCACCCCCACCTTTGCTACTATAGAAACCCAACCCCAGCTGAGCTCGGGGCTCTCCGATTACCCCAATATGTCAGACACACGGAGAGTCGGAGTTTGCAAACTTGTGTAAGAATAAAGGCTCTTTCCTTTACATATAGGACTCAGTCTCCTGGTTGGTTTCGGGGGTACTCCATGATCTGGGAATAACAACTTTATCACCATTGTGTTGAACACCCCTGCTACCCCCACCCTGCTCACCCAGAAGGATCCATAGGAGAGCTTTCAGACGAGAGGATTGGATACTCTCAGGGTAGGGTAAAGGTTAGGGTAGACGCGTGGTAGCTGTGGCAGAAAGCTTTGCCCCCTCTTCAAGGTCACACAGCTACCCAGGGTTCTGGAGCAACAGAACTCAGCAACTGAAAGACAAGGCTGTGGGGGTCCTACGAATGGAAGGAAGATCCCTATTTTTAGCCGTTGTTAGCTTGTGTCTTCAAACCTCCGTTTCCTCACCGGTGAAGTGGGTGTGAAAGCAGAGTTGTTCTGAGCAGCCAAAGAGCTCCACAGGTTGCTTAATCTGTCTGCCCCACAGTTTCCTCCGGCGTTTGGTGCTGAAGTATCAACCGCTGAGCTACTGAAGGGTTAGGGGATGAAACGCGTCCAGGACGGCTTAGCTCGTAACACGTCAATCCAGTGCCTGCTACCTGATATCCATATCTCATAGATAAAGCAGCTGGTGCTGGTGCCTGCGGAACTTACAGAGTGATAGCTTTTCTTACCAATCATAGTCATTCCTGGTTTAAGACAGCCCAGAGCCCTATCGCCAAAGCCCACTACACAGCCCTGCCGGGGCCTTCCCGAGCGAGGCCTTGCTCCTAGTCGGTCTTAATGGTGCCGCTGAGGTTATTTGAGGCGCCATCTGCTTGGGAGATAGAGTGGGCAGTGTGGTTCATGCTCGTGTCCTTGAGTAGAGAAGTATCTCTGTGGTTTCTGAAGGTGTGTGGGTGGCAGGGTTGACTGCCCGCGGGAAGCTTCAGAAGGCCTTCCGTGAGAACACCTCAGCTGCGTCAACAGGGAAGGCCAGGGAGCAGGGAAGGGAACGGACACACGTGTGAAAGGAAAAGTTCGGAAGATCCCCAGAGTGAGTTCATCTGAACGAAAGCCTAGCACACTCCCTGAGGGGATCCGGCCTGGTTTATCCTGCTGGGTTGAGCTTTCCTCGCAATGACCACACTCATAGAAGTGAGAGGCCAGCAGGGGTCACGTTTGAGACCTGGGACTTCCTAGAGATTAGCAAACCGTTAGGCCTGAGGTAAACTGGGAAGTGCCAAGGGATGGGCTGAGCGGGGAAGACTACTGCAGGAGGAGGGGGGCTGGAAGGCCAAGAGGGGATCCGACTGAGCAGAAAAGTCTGGGGTGAAATGGGAAGGGGCAGAGCCAGGAGGGGGTGCTACTCCATAGACACAGGAGGAAACGACACAGCCAAACTTGATGAGTTAGAAACTAATGGAGTAAGTCAAAAAGGGTTTTTATTATCTGCTGGAAAGCATCCAAGTAGCGTTCTTAGAGTCCGAGGCCACAAACTAGTTGCTTCATCTGATACAGTAAGAATAGCTACACACCTGATATTTTTATGGTTAAGGGAGAACATGAGCAAGGAAGTCAGGACTGCGAGGGGTGCACCCACCCACTGTGACTGTGGGGCTGATCTATTGGGAGCTCACCAAGGCCAGCTGGACTGGGATTGAATAAGCATGGGATGAAACCGGACTCTCTGATCATGGCAGACAATGAAGGCTGATGAGAAGCCAAGGACAATGGCACGGGGTTTTGATCCTACTGCATGAACTGGCTTTGTGGGAGCCTAGCCTGTTTGAATGCTCACCTTCCTGGACTTGAATGGAGGGGGGAGGACCTTGGACTTCCCACAGGGTAGGGAATCTGGACTGCTCTTCATTCTCGAGAGGGAGGGGGAATGGAGGAGGGGGAGGGGGAAAGGGAGAGGAGTAGGGAGGGGGGAGAGGAGTGGGAGGAGGGGGAGGGAAATGGGAGGTGGGGAGGAGGCAGAAATTTTTTTCAATAATAAATAAATAAAATGGAAAAAATGTTTACTCTTTTGGAAAAGCATTTAGAGGCCTCATAAGCCCAAACCTAAAAACATGTGCGTGCCATTTTGCCAGGTCTGGGTCTATTTCTGTGTTTTAGGTTCATGTATACTTACCGATTTCTGGGTGTGGAATTGCTTACAGTATCATGTTTGTTTGGAAATGACGATCTTGGTGGCACCTACCTGTAATCCCAGCACCAAGGAGGTTGTCCCAGCAGGGCCGCAAGTTTGAGGCTGGCTTGGGTTATTTAGGGAGATGACGATGGTGATTTGTGTTTTGAAGAGACGGCTCAGGGGGTAAAGGCGCTTGTTGCCAAGTCTGGTGACCTCAGTGCCACCCCTGGCGTCATTTCACGTGGTGGAAGGAGAGCAGTGACCCCTGCAGATTGTCCTCTGTGGCGTCTTACATGTCACCGTGTCTCCGGCACCAGAGAGGACACCAATGCTTGCGTGCCGCAGATGGAGCACGGGTTGCATTGCGGAAGTCCAATCTTATAGTCGGGGAACCTTCAAGACCAGGGCAAATTCAGATCACCCAGACACTTGGCAGTCTATGAAGAAGCCTAGGTCAGGCTTGCTTACCTAACAGACGGTTTCTACAAGATAACCCTTTCAACATAGAAGTTAGGGCACAGCGAAATCCAAAGATCACGGCTCATAATAGAGCCACCAACAGTCCCCATAACCTTTTGAGGTTGCCAGTACATTATCAAGAGGTAGGATTTGAAAGCCCGTTCCAAGTCCACTTGATTTTTGCATAGGTAAAGAAGCAACAGCAAGTGTTTTACATACAGTTTGGCTATGGGAAAAGCAGAGGGCCCTTGATAAATAGAGCCATTCAGCTGATTTTTGAATGCATGTAAGCGGAGAAAGTATATATGACCATCTTCCAAATCATATCGTCAGGCAGTAAGCTCCGTGCTCCTTATTCCAAATGGTTGGTTGGGGCCATCGTGATTTGGATCTGGGTCTTTCTCAGGTTTTGAAATATCTGCATAGACATACAGAGGGGGCTTGAGGGTGAGACTTGAGTCTAGGCATGAATTCATAACATTCTACACATGCCTTACATGCACAGCCTACTGATAACATTATCAAGTAGTTTTAATGTATTGTATTTTTTTTCTGTGATCCCATCATGGTTTCTTTTCTTTCTTTTTTTTTTTTTTTGATTTTTCGAGACAGGGTTTCTCCGTAGCTTTTGGTTCCTGTCCTGGAACTAGCTCTGTAGACCAGGCTGGCCTCGAACTCACAAAGATCCGCCTGCCTCTGCCTCCCCGAGTGCTGGGATTAAAGGCATGCGCCACCACCGCCTGGCTGATCCCATCATGTTAAGTGTAGTGTAGAATTTTCTGGAATGGTATCAACTTAAAAAAAAAAAAAAACGGGGTGAGGGCCACACCGGAACATCAGGTTTTCAGATCGGGTCTGGTCAACATGTCATTAACCCTGAGTTGTTGTAGACCCATCTGCTTGTCCGTGCCCTTTTGCAAAGCTTTGACAACTGACTTCTCTGCTTGAAGGTGAGTTACTGGTGAGCGAGCCTGTTTGCAGCATAATTTAATTTTTCTCTTGCCCATTTAAAAAACAAATTTTAATGAAAATTGCGAGTTTGTCTTCCCTCAGGATGGCTATTAATAACCACCAAAAGCAAGTAAGATTTGAGTTATTTTAAAATATGTAACCCATAGTAATGAATTAATTATCATATAATATTTAAAGCTTTGATTATTCGTACATGAGAGCTTCCATTATTAATGATTGCTTATGAAATTAATCTTTGTAATTTTCATTATGATTCAAATTAACTTCATTAGTTGGGCTCACGACTCGCATTTTCTATTAAACTCTACTTTTAATTTCTGAAGCATGAAATGACATAAAATGTCTTGCGGGGGGAAAAAGTACTTAAAATTAAGATTTTACTTTGATCCACTGAAGTTAACGAATTGAGTGAGCCGAGGAGCCGGAGTGGGTCTCGTACACTGCCCTCTGGCGTTTAAAGGCCTACATTGCAAGGCAAAATGAAAACCCAAAGCAAAGGCGGAGCTGTGACCAGCTTCTTGCATCTGGGGTGGCACCTTCATGCTCACCTCCCGCCTGCTCACCGAACTGAGGCTGCGGTTAAATGGATAACATTGAAACCCAGATGCTGGCAGCCCCGGAGAAGGCTGTGGAATGCACATCCCCGCGACCGTCTTCCCACCGCGCACGGAACTCACTTAAAGTGAAACTACCCTGTACTAAACCGTTTGTTCCCTTTGTCTCTAGATTGTCACGTTTATTAGCTCCCTAGATGGGTTGACAAAGGAGGCTTTAGTGAGGGTCTAGCGCAGACACGAGGAGTAATTACGCCTTCAATTAGAGCTTTGTGCCTGTGTTGGGATTCTGTAATGCCAGCAACTATTCTCCATTTGGTTTAATTGAACATTTTTTTTAAGCCTTGTTCCTCCCTTAATCTGTACTAAAATTAGATTTAAAAAAAAAATCCAAATGCTCTTTACAAATAGCTTACAGCTTATGTGTGACCTTCGGGTATTTCTTGGGGTGGTTGGAGACTGACCTGCCGAGGATTTATTTTATTTTAATTACCATTTTTTCGAATTCCAAGCAGCGTTTTGACACCCCCCCCCACATTTTTTTCCCATTTGATGATTGCAACCACGACCCCTTTTGGGGTCACGAACCTGCTTTTGTGTGTGTGGTAGAGCTGCCTGAGGAACCCCGGGAAGGCTCCTCCTGACCAGAGTACAGGCTGCCTTGCTTGGGCGCCTGAAGAATCCAACATTGGCTGACATTGTGTTTCTCAGAGTGAGTCACAGCCCGGATTAGCAAGACACCAGAGGGAGCAGCCGGTTTTTGAGGAAGATGTGTTTTTGCAGGGAAAGGATTTTTTTCTTTCTTTCTGAAACTGGAAGGAGGCTTGTAGACATATTAGTGGGGCTGGTCCCTCACTGAGAACGCGGTTGCCTCGGTGCCCTCTTGAGTGACAGTTGACGCTAGCTGTCGGTAACTCACCACAGCCCTTCACAAACTTCCCACTTCAGTGAGGTGCTGAAAGGCACTGGGCACACATCTGAGCGCTCACTTTCCAGACTGTTGGAAGATTTCCTAGAGAGAGCTGTGCCTAGACTTGGGACTAACTGGCCTCTGATGCTTATTTTTGGAG